GAAGAAATTAATGTAACCTAATTTAATTTCGAAGGATTTTAATTCAATTGTTTAGCTTTTCAATTTAAAGAAGTTTGAAACATTAAAGAAATATGTATTTGTATTGTAGACAGATAAGCTAGGAACGGGTTTGTTTGTTCACAGGGCTCAAGTGTGTACCAGTGATTAATGGTTTTAAAATGTCCCATAAAAAATATTAGCCGAATGTTTTAAATTTGTTGATTTTTTATATTTAAAGAAAACTAATGGAAGTAAATAAATTTCATTTGATTTTGGGTTTGGTTTTGAAAGTGTTTAGAAGAAACTGTTTTATTTTAAATAAACCATGACTTTTGTAACAATGATGAATTTTTATTTTGGGTCTCCTCTTAAGGCCAATTCCACTAAATAGAAGATAATTGATCTTGGAAATAACGTTACAAAGTTGAGACACGTTTGTAGAAAACACTAAAAAGGTAATCTTCTAAATAATTTAAAAATATTTACAACTTTAATTATATAGAAATGTTCATAACACAGTAAGTAATTCCATTAGTTGCATAAGCTTTTACGTGAGTCTTTTTAATTAATTGAAAATTAAGTCTGTAATAACTCCTAAAATAGCTCCTGTAATACCGGTACTTGATAATTGCTTGATTTCTAGCAACGAGTACACAAGTTAAAAATTCAACAATGCATTAACATAACAAGCTCTCTTTCACGCTGCAAGACTAGTAAACGGCAGAAGTAAGGCAGAACGGCAGAACTGCGGTATTGGTTTACCATACACGCCTGCAACGATGCGCTGCAAACCGCGCGACGAGTAGCTAAATGAACCGTAGAGTAAGTGAGCCTTCTAATATTTGTAGAGGGTTCACTTACTCTACAGATCATTGTGCCAATGAACTGTAGAGTAAGTGAGCCGTCTTCTATTTGTGTAATAGTTATCATGAAATAGGCTCGTATAGTATACGAGCCTACTCCTGTAATTTATTTAAATTCAGTATTTTGGCTCGTATACTATACGAGCTTATTCCTGAATTATTCAAGAATTCATACGCTTGGCTCATAGGCACTATGATCTGTAGAGTAAGTGAACCCTCTTCATTTATTTGATATTTTTGATCGGCTCGTATAGTATACGAGCCTGTAGTGCAAGTGAACCTTCAATATTATTTACGAAGCTCGTATAGACTATGATTTGTAGAGTAAGTGAGCCATGTGTTTTAAGAATTACATATTTGGAGGCTCATTGTGTCAATGATTCGTAGAGTAAGTGAACCCTAACCACCAACACAAGTAGACTTCTCATCCCATTGTAAATTTTGAAGCTCGTTTTTCATGTCTAGTTCATGTACGCCACACTAGGCGATAGTGTCGACGAAATTTTGTTTCTATTATTTTAGGGTTAATTTCTTGATTTGTGCTTTACTGTTTGGTTATATAACTAGGGGACAGGTTATTGTTTATGATTAGATCGTATTATTTGGTTAAACGAGGTTTTAAATGGCTGTAATAACGGTAAACAAGTTGTAAACAAAACACGACCTCTACAGAAAACCGTACAGAACTAACAATAAAATTGTCTTCAGCTGTTCCATAAGGATGAGAAATCTACTAAGGGAGTATGTTTTATCTATGATTTAACTTAAATGTGTATTAAGTTATTTTGGATAACCCCGATTATCATTTCATATTTTCGCCATTTCAAAGTAAAGTAACTTGTTTTAAAGTAAAGTATTATTCACTGGTATTCAGGATAGCATAACCTAAGGGAGTATGTTTTATCTATGGCATAACTTATGACTAAGTTATATACAAGGAACGAAAGTGGAATTTCATAAATTTAAATTCATAAATTTATTCATAAATGTGTTCATAAATTTATTAAATTATTGAAAATAAAACATACAGAATTGAAAACCGAAACAATATAAATTAAAAATCTATCTGTACATTTTTAAGTGGAGTCAGAATATCGTCATAGTTTCTACCCAATCTTTCGTAAATACACAAATACCATTAGCTGCTTCCAAACAAAACAGCTGTTACAGCACCACTTGCGGCGTTGCCACTTTTAAGGCCACGGCCTAGAGTTAAAGGCGAACGTGGCCCCAGTCAGAGACATACTTATGACTACTACCAGTTTTATTTAGCCTTAAAGGATTTACCTCTGCAATGATCAAAAAGTAAGTGCATGTTTCCAACCACGCTGTTTTGTGTTGTTTCGTTGGAATCCTGATGTGCACCAAAGTATAAACCGTACGAAAAAGTATAATTATGCAGCAATTAGCAGCTTTCTGTACTATAAACAGTACAATGAAGCCAAACTTTGTCGGGTGACTGTAGGAAAAAGTAGTTTACTCAACACTGGGAAGTGGGAATCATTGCTGTGTTCATTCATTATATAGGCTAATAACGATAATAAATTCTGATAAAAACATTATCTCATCTATTTCTTCTAGTTGGTGGACCCAGATTCAAATTAGTAAATATTTCATTTAAACTAAGTAAATAAATGTCTGTCGGCTTTCCTTGAATCGCAACTTAAATGTTAACCGCAATTAAGTTATCCAATTGATCATATAATGTAAACAAAAAAGATAACATGGGAACATTAAGAGCCACTGGGACAGGGACCAAAGTGCTTTTTCAACATGTAAAACCTTATATGACATCTACTCAATGAGATCATTCGATCTTTCCAATGAGAAAACTAACAAAATCGTTTGAGAATCTACTGAGGAGTTATCTAACATCAAAATTCACGCTTGCCTATTTTTAGCAAATTTCCCTATAGGGAAGTAGCTATTACCGACCGTAGGTGGCATGGTAAGACCTAGGCCCGGGACCGATTTACTTTATCATTTTGATGTCCCCAAAGGCCAAAAGCACCATTCGTTCAAATTTTTATATGTATATATATGTGTCCTTGAACGCGATAACTTGAGTAATTTTTGTCCGATTTTGATGAAATTTCGTTTAAAGGTGTAAGGCAGGATAAACTTGAATGAGTTCGCGAACCAGCATGATCGGACTATGGGTACGGGGTGTAACGGGGGGTTTTATGGGGTAAAAATAGGGGTTTTCTCATTTTTGACCCTCAAAACACAAATTTTCCCAATTTCTCTCTGGACATTTTTAAAGGGCTTAAAAAAAACAAATGATTTAGTATATCAAAGTGTTTTTGTACGGTTATTGGTAACGGAGAAAAAAAATTGTAAATTAAAAATTCCCATGTTATTCTTATGGAGAATATTGTCAAATGTTGTAGTTTGCATGTTTATAAATATATTTTGAATTTTGATTTAATTGAAAATCAATTCAGACAAATGGAAATTCGCTTAGTCGGCAGGTTTGCTGTGGAGAGGGTATTTAATTATTTTAGAGAACATCCAATCAGTAAAATGGAAATTCACTTAGTCTGCAGGTTTGTTGCGACAGATGTATTTTCCATACTTTCAGACATTTTCCAGGCAAATGTTTAACTATAGTATGTTCACCAAATTTAGGTGGTTTAAGGGGAAGGTTTTCTGGGTTCCCCCACACAAATGTAAGACTTTTCAAAGCTTAATGTATACATCAGCTGATTCAGCTCTAGGCTGTTGTTTCAAAATCAGGGTGAGGTGGAAGGGATGGAATCGCTTTCCCTCAAACCAAACCACCTAAACTTTGATGTTGGCTAAGCAAGACATTTCGGAACAGCTGCAATATCAAATCTATATATTAATTTGAAACTGTTTTTCTTTGTCTCAGCTATTTTGAGATAAAGGCTGGGCGTAGAAACTTGGTAGAGGTGTCTAAAGAAAGGTCTTGGTCTGTAGACGAGCCATCAAAAGAAAAACATGGTGAATTCCCTTTAAATGGCCTTTAAATTCCCATCCCATGTTATTCTTATGGAGGAAAACGGGATTTTTGTCACAGCGAATTTGAGAGAACGGCTGGGCGTAGAAACTTGGTAGGGGTCTCTAAAGAAAGGTCTTGGTCTGTATATGAGCCATCAAAAGAGGAAAGAGGTAAATTCCCTTGGGGCTCCGCCCCAGAAGCCTTTAAAGTTGCCTCTTCAGATTTGTTTACATTACGACCATATACACAATTCTACACTACTTTTTAATGCAACAGCTGTTGATATTTAAATTGTGATTTATTGAATTTGTCCAAATGAAATACAGTATTTGCAATGGATTTTTCTGATTTTAAAATTGATTTTTTTCTGCATCGTGTCATGTTTTTCAATAAAATATTCTATTACCAAATCAGTGGAAAATCCTAATATCACAGTAACTTTTAAAATTATTTCTTATGGAGTTAACTTATGTCTATTATTGTATGGGTTGGTTTCTGCCTTTTTTACCACTTCTTGGAGATTGTACGTAGCTGATATTCTTTGGCATATTGCATCTGTAGACGAAACTTGGGTTGGTGTAATTATTAGAATGGAAAAGAGCGAGAAATCCTGGACAATTTGATATAGGCTAAAAATAAAACTTAATTAACACTTCTTGAGCAATCATTGAAATAACAGATTTGCAAACAATGGAAACATAGAAAAGGTCATAGAACACAACCAAGTAAAAGAAATAGAAATAATGTTTTTTTTTACACTAAAAAACAAGATCAGCTTTTTGAAAAAAGATAAGATATTTACAAAAGATTTTGATTATATCTAACTGTTGTGTAGATCGTGAGTATTTCCATAATCTTTGAGTCACCTGTTGTAATGCTTCGCAATTGCTCGAATTCGAGCAACAGGTACACTAGTAGGTATAATTGTCTTTCTAAGTTCTTAATTAACGTATTGCAGTAATAGTGCAGTAAAAAATTTCTAGGATTCTAGCAAAGTGACTATCCTGTTTCCTCTGTAGAGTACTGTAACTACTTTCATTGGGAAAGTAAAATGTGTTACATACAAGAAAATGTCTTCAAGGAGTAGTTTTTCAAGGCACCTCTATTTAATTCTTCATCTCTTTGTAGTTCATCTCTTTGAAGTGTACAAGGATTTTATAAAGTAAGCAATAAGCTATTTACAAACAATATTTTATTGTTATAGAGTTAGTTTAAGTATTTACAAGAAAAACACTAATTCAGTTTATATAGTTAGAAACTAACATCAGACTTTCTAATTAAATAATTAATTGGAATTAGGCTTCATAGGCTCAGTCAGGTGTATTACAAAGTAGAATACTCAATAATAATAAATATGTTTGGCGTTTCAATAATGATATCACCTCCAGCTAAGGTTACAATTAATAATAAATTTAGGTTTTTAATTATAAAAATATTGTTAGGATTTACAATAAGTACATCATAATTGCATTTGGGCTGACAAAAGATCTGTTAGAGGATTCAGAAATTTTCAATTGATCATACAGATTCCTAACAATAAATGTTTTAAATGCCTAACATATAATACAAAATAATATTCCTGTTTATGCTTTAGGTAATCATTCTTGATTACTTCTAAGGATTGACATTTAAAGGTGACTCACAATCATGTGGCTTTCCAGAATACCAAAAACTGTAAAGCATGCAATTTAAATTGAACAAATGGTTATTTTTAGGCTATTTAAAACAATTGGGAATTATATTGTACCAGCAGAATACCCATACTTCGTACGGGGTCGGCGTATAAGTATAAAATGCTTATTGAAGTTATAGGCCCTACTCGTGCTCTGCGTTTTCGTTTACAATGGGGGAGGACACAGTTTGAGAAAATTTGGTTCTTTAAATTTACAGTATGCTATAGATAAACACATTACCATAGCCATTAACTTCTACCACTGCACCTAAATAGAAAACAAAATTATCAAACATTCACACTATACATATCACAAATAGAAATTTTTTATTAAATTAAAAACATAAACATAACTGTACGACATTTCTCATTGCGTGCACCTTTTTGTTGCTGCTTATTTTAAATTAGGTGTTGTCAAAAATGAAAAAAAAGTGCTTCACCCTGTTGGTAAACCTTAAATATCATAGAACCAGCTACCAAAATTTGTTAATTCCTTTTAAATATGACTCATAAGAATACACATGGAAACTTTAAACCCCTGTGGGGCATAGCCCTATAGGGTTTTCACAACTTTAATATGGCTATGTGTTTCTCGAGACTATCAAGTACCTCTCTGCAAAATGTTGGCTCAATCGGTTCAGTAGTTTTCACGTGATGGAACTTTAGAGTTAGACACAAACATCCATACATTCACAATTTATTATTATAATATTAGTAGGATTATATTAAAACCCTATTAATGAATCTTACTCTTTTCATAAGAAAAATATTCTCATGTTAAATTTGCTGATATTGTTTATTAAAATTATTGTGTATAAAAGTGCTGGTTTGTCCTAACAAGTTAAATTGTGCGTTAATTTTTAAATGTTTATCACAATGAACATTAAAAATCATAATCAGATGAGAAAAAACCTGAGCAAGTCAACAAGGCAATAAGAAATTTTGAAATAAAAAAATTAATGTAGAGACTCATATTTATCAGGAATATCCGTTGAGATATAAATATGCCAAGCACCACTAAGGACAAAACAGTATGGAAGTAAATGTAACTTTATTTAAAAAAATAGTAGAACTTTGCAGCGTCACAATATTACAAGAGGCTGAATGGTTGGCAGCACTGGATTAACTCAATGAGACCACTTATATTTCCGAGTCACCAAAGGAAATTTTTATTGTTTTGTACTGTATATTAAACAGGGCTAAGAAATAAATGTTCAATCGCATCATAATAAAATTTAATACACAATTAGTATGTCGACTAATAAAAAAACAATAAACGTTGTTTAGAATTTTGAATTCCTAGTTAGTAACAAGTGTACCAAAGTATGACTGAGTTCAACTAAAATATTTTAAAACCTTAAGATATATTACACTTATAATTATTTCTAGAGCGATACAAATTATATCTACATTTCTTAAACGAATGAACGGTTAAAAATTTGTAGTATGATACTAATTGTCTAACTCATCGTCTCACTGCATTAGTGCATTACGAGTCTTACAGGAATGGAACTTGAAATGAATTAAACACTTTAAAACTGGAATAACGTACACTAATGTGGAGCTCTGAAACCAAAAGCAAATTAAAATAATTAACAGATCAACAAAATCTAACATTCATATTCTACAAAATGATAATATTGGAAAACAAATTAATAACATGTTTAACATGAGTTGAATAGTGAATTCAAGGATCGTAAATATTACAACTATTATTTACATCGAGTAACTAATTACAGTATCTGCACAAGTTGGTGTATTTGAGTAAGCTAAGGTGGTAGGATACGAAAATGTGACAAAAAAACTAGTTGTTAGTCTATATCACTTGAGTTATTCACTGCCCTATCTTCATAAAAAAAAAGGCGGTGGGATATTTTTACACTTTTTCATCAAAGCAACCTGGTTATTTAAAGGGGTTGGGATCCCCCTAATTTCTGAGAAATTAAAAAAAAGAGTAGAAGAGGCTTCTTTTTTATTTTTCACTTTTTTATTTGGTTGGCCAATTGATTTAACATCAGCTGTTTCTGCAGATACCATATTTCCAAATTCGCTTAGTCTGCAGGTTTGCTGCAGGGGGGGGGGGTTCAGTTTGTATTAGGTCCAGGAATGATACCTTCAAAAGGACGGCAGAGAGTTCAGAGACACCCTGTATAATCTATGCCATCTGATGTGAGATGTAGCTTAAGACCAAAGTCGTCAACAACTGATCACCAGATCAAGACAGGCTTAAATTATTCTTTGAGCTTTGTTGTAGGCTTTTGAAAAAAGACTAACTATATATAACACTTCTAATTTTAGAAGCTACTCGCTCTTTCTTCATTAGTAGAGTATTTTTTCTTGTAGAATTAAAGTAAAAAAGCCTTTGTTCCTGATCCTACAAGAACAAAGGCCCTACTACTGAATAAGGAGTACCTAGCAGCTCTGTAAATTCTATGAATTTATATGTGTACTTTAAAATATTTGAAAACCCTGACCCTTAATCCATCTTTAGCAAAAAACTTCATTAAAATATTCTTTGCAATTTTGGGGGTTAAAGCCCTTTACTTAGATATCCCCAAATAATTCACAAGTCTTCAAAACTCTTTTCCAAAACAATCCTCTCAAACAAATAACAGCACAATAATTCTTAACACCTACATAATTTAACTTAAGAAAACAAAAGCCAGAGGTTGCAAAGGATTTAAACACTATAAGACGAATCAAGTACACCAACCAGCTGCAGACTATTTACAGGCCTCTGCTTAGGCTCTCGTATGTAACAGTCTCCAATGTGCAATTTATACAAGTCTTTGCGATCACAGCCACTTTACACTGAACCTCCTTTAGCCGTCTTCCTTCGGTGGAGTGAACCAGCCTAGGCAAAAAACATCAACATTGTAATTGAAAACAAAATAAGTAATACTCTGTAAAATATATTAAGATTTAGACTCCACTGATTTTCAAGAGGGTGATTTAAAACTCAGGTGAATCCAGAATGCATTCTCAATAATGACCTTCCTTTATTTTGCTGCATGTCACAACTTTCAGATATAGGATCAAAATTTATATTTGATGTAAATTGGCGTTCAACCTTAATAGTTTAGCTGTATTTTCTTTATATTAGTTTAACATTAAACAAATGGCATGAGAGTTATCCTGTAAAACAGTCTGTACTGAGGACGTACGTACAGTCTGTACTGACTTTAGGAGTGATCACAAATAAAAGGGATTTTATTACTTGATATTATTTCAAAAACATTTGATGCGAAATACTATCATTGCATGTCTTTACAAACTCCCTTAGGGAAGCCTGGAAGTATAGATGGGGACTTATAAGTGAGTTTAACTTCTAAATTTTAGGTTAATAAAACTAAAAAACCTTGAAACTTGTTTACTTTGATCCGATATCCTTAATTCTGTATTATGTTTTGTTGTCTATTGAGTACTCTAATTGTGTTTTATTATTCTTTTAATTATTGTGTAGAAAAATGTTCATTTCTTTTTGTGCTAAATGTTGTTAAAGACTAATATTCATAAAGGCAAAAATTGTGTCAACCAAACAGACGGTTGTTATCAACCATTGTTTCAAAGTGTTATGTTTTTGGATGTACATATTACCTTATCGTTTAGTAAAGCACTTATTCATTTCATTTCATTGCATGGAATTTGTAAGTAGGCCTAGTTGTTAAGGTATTATTATAAGATAAAACACACTTCATACTTAGATATTTTTGTGTATGAGGTTTCTGTTTGTATAGGATCGGTTAAGTTGATCTAGTCTTTATATTTAGAGGGATAACTGTTATTTTTTTAATATTTAACAGCTGTACAAAACTTTTATTGCCACTTAATACTTGCAGTTGCCTATTCATTATCTGACACGCAATCCTTATAAACCACTAGCCTACTTTCCAATCATTCAACATTCACAAGCAGTACCTGGGGACCGAGCTTTGCTCGGGGAAAATTATTAGTTTACTCTGAAAGCAGTTTAGTATTGCAGATAGAGATATCCATTCCCAAACTCCACACTGCTCGCCTTTACTACTTCCTTCTTCACCACTCCCTACGTCTGTTTGCCCTCCTTCCCTATACCATTTTAGAATTGCAGATACATAATTGCCACAGACAGTTCCCACACTCTGCACTGCTGGCCTTACTACTTCATTCACCATTTCCTACGTCATGGACCTGTTTCCTTCCCTTCTCATAGCATTTTAGGATGGAAGATACATTAATCTAACTGCCACACACGGTTCCCACACTCTGCGATGCTAAACTTTACTACTTCCTCTTCCTACGTCGTGGACCTGTTTTCATCTCTTTCCATAGCATTTTAGTATTTTAGATAAATTAATATAGTTTCCACAAACATTCAACAGACTCCGCACTGCTAGCCTTTACTACTTCTTTCACCATTTCTTATGTCGTGGACATGTTTCCAACCCTTCTCATAGCATTTCAGTATTGCAGATACATTAATCTAACTGCTACAAAAGGTCTCCAGTTCCAACTCTCCACACTGCTTTCCTTTACTACTTCCTTCACCACTTCCTACGTCTCGGACCTATTTCTTCCCTTCCCATAGCATTTAAGGATTGCAGATACTTTAATCTAATCGTCATAAACAGTTCCCACACTCCGGACTGCTCGCCTTTACTACTTCCTTTACCACTTCCTACATCGCGGATCTGTTTCCTTCCCTTCCCATAGCATTTAAGGATTGCATATACTGTAACCTAATCGTCATAAACAGATCCCGCACTCCACACTGCTACCCTTGACTACAATGTATCGAGTAATCTTCAGTATAATCTTTGCTCAATAGTAACAACTGATGTTTTTCCTTTTGTACTGTATTTTGTTTTGCTAGTATACTGTGGATAGGCAACTTACAAGTCTTTTGTTTACTTTTTCCTTGTTATTTAATTCAGCCAAGATGGTTACTTAGCAACCCATAAGACTAATGTTAAAAAAATTAGACTATCAGTTTCATTTTTCTACGAAATTAGATTTTTGTTGGTAGTTCTAACTGCAGTAAACTCGTTTTTGGGCCAGGAATAAACTATTTACAACATTTGAACAAAATCGTCGGAGCCGTTTTCGAGATCTTGGTGCAAGCATACATACATACATAAAAGCAAACATTGCTCGTATTAGAGTATAGGATTTTTCAACTTTATCACATGCAGATGATTTTATTGGGTACCTTGATATTATACTGACCACACCTAAATTGGTTACCCTTAGGCTAGGTTAGGTTTTCTTATCCTAACCTAGGTGTGGTTGGTATAATAGCAAAGTTCCTTTATTGTACCAGAGCGGTAAATACATCAACTAGAGGTCTCAGATTTAAACTATGTCGTCCGACCATGACGGGAGCTTGATGGAAAGCCCAATTTAATGGACAGCCCTCATAATAAGTCAGCTGTGTGATTACTTTCAGTAGGGTAAGGTTCTCATCTTTGCACTGTTATCAATATTATACATCAATATACAGTACATATCTGCAAATGCTAGTGTAGATAATGCTCTTTCCCTATTGATTGTTGGAAAAAGCAAGAAACCAAGATGTTTCAAGAATGTAACTCAGCTTGTTGTGACATACAAAGCTGTTGGATTAACAGTAAAATATTTCAACCAATGGACCAGGGCGTCATTGAAAAGTTAAAAAGAATCTATAGGAAGCAAGTGCTGCGCAGGCTTCTTTCGGCAGAAGATAACAAGGAAAGTAAGTGTCATTCAGTTAGAGAAGAAACTAAATTTGAAAGACTCGTGCTACTCACATTTTAAGTGATTTTGTACAGTTAGATTTAGAGAGATTCTTTTTGTGTTCTGTTTCTGATCAGTGTTTTGTTTAATTCCAATGAACTCTACATATTTTTTTCAAGAAACGAACTACATTAATGTACATGGAGTACACTTAAGTACAAAAACTATTGTTTTTATTTCATTTACTATATCCTAGAACTTTATTTTTAAAACTGTAGGCCTATTATGTGTCTATTAGGCATTTCTAGGTTATGATTAAAAATCTGAACAAATTGGTAACCTGAACTACAGTCACAATTTGTTCGGAATTTTGACGCTCTACTGTATCTAGTTTATGAATGTGTCAAAATTGCAATAAAAACTTGAGGAATATTGAAGAATATCGGTGGGAGCAGTAGTGTAATCATATATTTTACATTATTGATTTCAAATTTTATAGTCAGCAAACCTTTGATGCAAATGTAATACAACCAAATTTAAAAATGCATTATTCTTCTTCCACCACATTTACCACTTTTAACTGTACAAAAACCTCAATAGAAACTCAGTATGTAATTTTAAATTGTGAAATAAAATTTTAAAAGACAAAACTAAACTTCAACTTACCATTCTTTTCATGAATTTGTACTAGAGACTTGAAGGACTGTTGTGCCTTTGCTAAACTGTACTGACCCTGTGAAAAACATCATTATGATACACTAAATTACTAAAATATTTGGATAGCAGCGAGCTTACCTAATATAAAAAGTCATAGTACACACAGAAAACACACAATAATTTGCCCTTGGGGTAATTTGTAATTTGTCAAGTGTAGAGATTGTGTCCCTTTACTCTACAAATTACATTCCTGGCCTAGAGCCTTTCTCTAAACAAACTATACCTGTCAAGGAAATGATGTTAACCAGAGGAGAGACAATTTAACAAAACTCTATATTATTTTGTACGCAAAGGATAGTAACTAGCGATGGGCGGATCCAAGAAAATGTCGGTACCATATTCGGATCCAGATACGTACTGTCATAAGGATGGTTTTTTTAAACTTAATATTTACAGAAATCCAATTTAAATCACACTGTTTAAAATTAAATTGGTAATGTTAAAAGGTTGATGTAATAAGATAGCCTATAGAATAATATAGCTTATACGGCTAAGCAACAGTATATGTCGACGTCAATAACTCATATGGCTAGGCAATGTCACAGTATATGTCGACGTCAATAAAGTATATGGATACTTATAGACCACGTATATGGACAAAGATAGTCTTATACAGTTCCGGCCATATAAAGAGAGAAAATGTCAAGGTAGACCTGGTCAGGCCTAATCCCAAGTTGTCAAAACATTAGGGGTGGGCGAGTACACGACCTTCGAGTAATTACTCGAGTTTTTTCAAATACTCGACCTCGAGTCGAGTAGTAATTACTACTCGAAAATTCGAGTCGAGTAGTTATAAATAGTGCCAATTCACGATTTTCTACACCCATATTTAATAAATTATATTTTGTTTTGTGTTGATGCCTTATTTAATCCCCATTCCTACAAAAAACAACTATCTAACCTCATATCTCTAGGTTAGACCCAGTGTTCTATAAATCAAACTAGCCAATCAACGAAGCAACGTAGAATTGTGATTCAAATTTTGTAATGTTCGTCTTCACTTTGTGAATAAAATGACCTGTCACTTAATTATATGTCACCAGTTTGATTTATAGAATTTGTACTGGGCCGAGTTATTTCTAAGAGTTAAAGGGAAGCAGTAGCAATGACCACTGGGATGGGGTAGCGCGCCCCCTTGGTTTCACAACAATAGCTATGTTTTGACAACAGCGGATTAGCTAATTGGACCGGGTCTACCTTGACATTTTCTCTCTTTATATGGCCGGAACTGTAAATGGATACCAATAGATAGTCACAAATAGTCTTGTATACAGAATGAATAAAAAGTCAAGACCCTGCCCTCCCCCCCAAATATTTTTTTACAGTACAAATATACAGAGATATACTTTTGGTGGTTGTACAATCTTAGCAGGAAGTTTCATTTTATGATTTTGAAAAATTTTGAGGTCCCCCAAAAATGGGGATTTTGGAGACAACTTAACATTTTTTAAATGTTATAATAAAACACCCCTGTTATAACTTAAAGAATGGTGAGAACCAGAGTTCGCTATCTCCTCTCTATCCTGAATACAGTCATGTATATGGGCATAGACACAGATAGTCTTGTATATGGATACGGATAGTCTCGTATATGGACATTGATAGTCTTGTATATGGACACAGACACTGATAGTCTTGTACATGGCCCTTTTATGTGGAATTTATTTTAATCATTTGAACTATTAAATAGATTATTTAATACATCACTATGACGGAACACCTGTTATTTTGTATGAATTGTACTTTATAAAGAACGTTTTGTGAAAAAAAATCGGATCCAGCCCCAGATCAGATTTTATGGATCCGATTGGGCGTCAGTTCTAGCTCAGATTCGGTAGTCCGATATCCAAATCGGACTATCACTAATTATTGTAACCACAAGAAACATAAAAGTGTCACCAGTTTTTAATCAAACAAAGGATTAAATTGCAGCATTCTTACCTGCGTTACGACTTTAGCAGCACCAAACTGTATCCGAGCTTTGCCCTTGACCAGTGTAGCAGCTATCTGCATGATGACTGCCTCCACAGTGTAGGCCGAGCTCCAGCCTTGCTTGGTCAGTAGCTCCATACAGATGGCTCCTCCCATCTGTCACACATAAAACATCCACTCACTTATATTTTCTTATTACAGATTTTGCAACACACTTAGTTGATAGAAGAAGTACTGGGTTCTTTTGGGAGGCATTTTCCTTGTACACAACCATCAATTTGTGGTCTTTACGGTTGTAAACTTTTTGGCCTACTTCAAATTTTTTTTTTAGAGCATTAGGTATACGTTTCCTGTTTTTCCTCATAGTGCCTGTGATGGAAGTCATCCTTTCATACAGATAATCTGCCAAAGGTATAAACATAAAGAAATTATCTAAAAATAGGCCAAGAGAATTTATGAAATCATCACTCAACTCACCAATTGCGCACCAATCTCTGCCAAGTTATGAAATATTGTGGCAAAACATATAGGCTACTAAATAATAACATACTATTAAATTAAAACTGAAAGAAGAAAATTAATCTCATAGCCGTTTTTAATGCATGCGGGTCTAAAATAGTATTTTAAAAATAATTTTCAGTCTCTAGGGAGTAAAAATCAGCTGAAGTAAACAGTTGTAAATTTCGATTGTGGCAATCGTATCGATCAAAATTATTTATCGATTGATTTATTAGGCAAGGTATTGTTGTCGATTGATTGACATATCGATAATGTACTGTAACACAATCACAATAGACAAAATGAATCACTTACTAAACAGCTGCTTATTTGCATTAGCAGATTTGAAAACAAGCTGGAAGTCTTTTTGAGAGGTTATCTTTACATAAAAATCATTTCCTTTTCTAGTTTTGTTTGTTAATTAATGATGCAATATGCCAAAAAATATAGTGCATCACACAGGGAAAAAGTCACTTTTAACCCTCGCTCGTTTTCCAACCTCGGCTTTGCCTCGATCGTAAAACTTGACCTTGGGTCAAAAAGAGTCACTTAAGGTCCTGTGAAGAAATATACAACTTCAACCAATGTTTGTATGACCTTTTTTGTTTTGATTGATTAGTACTATTAGCCCTGAAGTTTGTGACACTCCTTTATGAACAACCCGAATATATAAACTTAACGGCTGGTGTTACTGGCCCCGTGGAGACCTCAAAATGAAAAAGCAAATCGGTCCTGGGTCTATGTCTTACCATGAGCCTTTTGGTAATAGCTAATTCCCTTATGGGAAATTAGCAAAACACTGAGGAAAAACAATTTACGAATGGAGTATGTATTGGCATAGTCTAAATTAATAGGTACTAGGGGTTGTGTCCAGTGGTCGAAAACTCGACCAAAAATATGTAATGTACATGGATTGACTATTGGATACTGAAGTAGAAATCCCCAGCTGTTACTATTTTTTAATAAAAAAAAAACATGTAGTCGTGTGAGCCAGTCACAGAATGTGTGTCTAAAATTATAATGTCTACCTAATTTGTTGTTGTTGACAAAGTTGATGAGTCATAACAGTTGCTTTGCTATAGCTCATAATAAGTCATTCCATAAGTTTGACTTGGTAAAAAACCTCGTGTTTTCACATAAATCAGCGCAATCTATTGGTGGCTCACATGAACTACGACAAATTTAATTAAAACTGGCAACAACTTTAACATTGGGATGGAATGTCTACAGTAGTTGTAATTCAAAGGTACAAGCATAGATAAAACATACGCCCTTAGTAGATTTCTCATCCTTATGGAACAGCTGAAGACAATTTTATTGTTAGTTCATGTACGGTTTATGTAGAGGTCGTGTTTTGTTTACAATTTGTTTCCCGTTATTACAGCCATTTAAAACCTCGTTTAAACAAATAATACGATCTAATCATAAACAATAACTTGTCCCCTAGTTATATAACCAAACAGTAAAGCACAAATCAAGAAATTAACCCTAAAATAATGGAAACAAAGTTTCGTCGACACTAGCGCCTTTGTGTCACGTACATGAACTAGACACGAAAAACGTGCTTCAAAATTTACAATGGGATGAGAAGTCTACTTGTATTGGTTAGTCTATGGTACAAGGTATGTAGGGCTTCTCTATATTTTCACCCCTCGCTATAAATAAAACTTGAGATTGTAGTTTCTTCAATTTGTTTGGATTTTCTGTTTATATTTCGTTGTTATTTTGTCACCTGGCAACCCATAAAGCCCATGTTAATTTATTTTTATTTTAAATTCATTTTTTGTGCTTATACTTGAGCCTATTTTAATTTTTAAAGGGATTCTGTACATATCCAGGAAAATATCTTTCTAACGGTATGCGTAGATTTTCCCTGTGTTGCACACGAGCTGAGAAAAGAGGTTTTAAAGAAACATGCTTGCCTATTTATATATAGATAGATAGTTTTAACTTTTGCCCTTTCATATAGAAATACCCCCGCCGCAGCAAACCTGCCGACTAAGCGAATTTCCATTTGTCTGAGTTGATTTTCAGTTAAATATATTTTAATAACATTAGGATTAACGAGTACCTAGGTTTGCTGCTACAAGGAAACTAATAAAGTGTGTTTTTGAGTAAAATATTGATAGCTTAGTACAAAATAAATAAATTTGCCAAGTTTTATCAAAATATATCCATAAACAAGCAAACTACAACATTTGACAATTTCTCCATAAGAATAACATGGGAATTTTAAATTTACAATTTTTTTAATTTTCTCCGTTACTAATAATCAAACAAATATACTTTTATATACTAAATTATTTGTTTTTTTAAGCTCTTTAAAAAGGTCTAAAGAGAAATCGGGATATTTTGTGTTTTGAGGGTCAAAAGTGAGAAAAACCAATTTTTACCCCATAAAACCCCCCGTAAAGCCCCGTTCCCATGGTCCGATCGTGCTGGTTCGCGAACTCATTCAAGTTTATCCTGCTTTACACCTTTAAACCAAATTTCATCAAAATCGGACAAAAATTATTCAAGTTATCGCGTTCACGGACGTATATATATATATATATATATATATATATATATAAGTCTATATATATATACATATATAAAAATTTGAACGAATGGTGTTTTTGGCCTCTGGGGACATCAAAATGAAAAAGTAAATCGGTCCCGGGTCTAGGTCTTACCATGCCACCTACGGTAATAGCTACTTCCCTATAGGGAAATTCGCTAAAACTGATTTAGTTTGATATGTCAATGCATCAATTGGCCTACCAAACAACAAATTTTAATTATAGTCATTAAGGGTCTATCAGCTTATGACAAAGAAAATATCTACATCTGAGCTCATGTTTCTAGTGGAAAAAACTCACCAGGACATAACCACCGGAAATCACAGGATGAACGACACGGACAAACGGAGGCTCGAAGGGGTAAGTCTCCTTAAATAGCATGTTGAGCAGTATGGAGTCCTTGCCTTCCTTCTCCTTCAGTAGAACAAGGTCATTGTGTAGGGGTGAGTCAGGGTCTACAGACATGAGGCGGATGTTCCACTCATACAGACTATCAGACACCAGCTCTATGCTGTACATGCCTGTCAACAACACACACAACTATACTTCCTCATGAAAATATATCCTGTTTGCAGGACCAGATCACTATAATTTTATAGTTTCGCCAACAGAGTTTTTATTTCAAGGTGGTGTAAAATTCATGCTCTTATTTAAGGAATTTAAAAAATCCAGTAAAGTTGATAAAGTCTCTGTGAACTTGAAATAACGCAGAATTTACGAATCTACTTCACCATCAATTTCTTTAGAGCATCATAGAATTAAGTATCCCGGCCCCCGAGGTAAAACGTGTATGTAGTGTCAACTCAATTGAAACCAAATGTAGGGTTTCACAAAAAAATCATCCAAATTTTAATGAATCTCTACAGTCCTAGATGTTTATGCTGCCAAAAAATCCATATAATTTTCGAAGCTCATGTGATTCCCGTAGCGAGGATGCAAAAATGCACAGCTGGAGATTACCTTTTTTAAACGTTTCAGAACGGTAAATGTCCCTGAGCTCCTTCATGAGTCTATCAGTGGCCTGTACACTGCCGGAGACCTGACCTCTCAGATAGTCCTGTCGCTGATTCTGCCTCAGTCGCTCTAACATATTACTGTGTTCAGCGTCCATCTCTTCAGCCTGTAACATGTAAAAAATCTAACAAACCACTTAATAGCCCTAGGACTCCTTTTATAGCGGAAAGTAAATAAAAGAAACGTCTTATAACACTTAAAACATATAGTTACGCTTATACTGTTACTCACAAGACGGTAAATATACAAAAAAGATGGTAAGTGGTGATCGATTTCGATTGGACACTCCAATCATCATCAGACCCAATAGGCGAATAATAGGTAACATATATGTTTTAAGTGTTATAAGACGTTTCTTTTATTTACTTTCCGTAAATTTAATAACAGTACAATGCTGATCAATAAGTCCTTTTATGACAAAATAGGTTGTCATTTGTCATGATATGTTGTGCTGGATTTGTTTATTTGATCATGTTTTATTTATCTTACATATTTTTATGCCTAGTAACCTTTGACACATTACGATTGCAACAAAGATGGGTGGCATTTTAATAATGAAAATGTTAGACTAGCTAAAGAGCACATTATGGAAACAGAGGTAAGATGGCTGATTTGGATTTCAACGAAAATGTATGTATATCCAAATATACATTTTCTGTAATTCTGGGACTTTTTGAATAATAAAAATATCTCTATCCTTTTTAAAGTTACAAACTTAGACCTTTGCAGAAAACTTTGTAAAATGTAAAGAAACGGAAAATTACAAAATCTTATAAAATTAGGAAATTATAACAAAAAATTAGGGGTCTGCGGTGCGGTTTGTGCCTAATTACTGCAATCGTTTCGAATACATAATTTTCCTCAATACTAATTTGGTTGTGTAAAGCCTACAATATTTAATTACCTTCAATTATTTTACTTAGGCCTAAGGTAATTTCCTTAATCGTGGCCAGTACCTTAATATGAACCACTATCTTAAATTTTAAAATATGTCTAACATTTACCTTATTCTTAGCAAGTATCTCGCTCTCGTCCATCTCCAGGTGCAGGTCCTCATCGTCGTCGTTGTCATCATCGTCATCGTCCTCCTCTGTCTCATGAGGATCGCCCTGGACTGGTGGCGGAGGCATCCACATTCCTAGCGTCAGTCTCTCCAACTCACCTGGTTCTGACACTCCATGTAGGCGACACAGCTCTCGCACCAGGATTGCCACTTGGTTCATCACCTACAAAACATTCAGAGTCAATTCACATAGGCTTTGTTAGATGTATAAACCAAATAGTTTTTAAAATAAATAATCAAAAGGATGACATTTTACTCAGTATTTTAATTCATGAAGCAAAAGTTCCTCTCCCATGAGAAGTTTACCATATTTATTTGATTAAAGGACCTACAACTTAAGATGCTACACAAAAAAATACAATAAAATGTATTTAAATACTTACATGGTTGTCACGGCCCGATGTATTGCTGAGAATCTGAACTGCGTTTGTAACACTTGTTTCCTCCGTATCAGCAAACCATACTGGAGGCGTGGACGGATATGTTTCCTAGAAATATTTTTAGGTGAAAATTGCATCAATACTAACTTACATGGATGTTCATTAGACAAAATCTAATTTGCCTTTAAGGCCAGATAATTCATTACCGAAGTAGACTGCTAAAATGGCCTTAAAGTTACAGATGAAATATATCTTATAGAAATCTGGCAAAATTACCCCTATCATTCATTATTCCTAATTACTAGGGGCATGTAGGGACATAAGTCCCTAAAAAGCTCAAAATGTAAAACAACTAATTTGTTGTTGTTATATACAGGGTGACAGTTAAGTCTTAGGACGACTTTATAACTTTTAAACGACAAACGATATCACAACCACATTTGGTATACCGTTACTGGAAATTGTAAGCTACTTTTCTGTGTACATGGTGGTCGGATATCACCTTTGGGGGACGGTCAGTCGGGGGTCAGAAGAAAATCTTTAATGACAGCCTATGTTGAGTTGTACATCATTTTAAAGGTCTACTTCAACTGAAAACAATGCCGCAAACCGCACTTCAAAAGGTTGATCCTGCGCAAAATGGCAGATGTTCAAAGATTTTAAAAATTAGCCAATTTCTTTAAATTAAAAAACTTTTTTTAATCTTTAAACAACTGTCATTTTTTAATGGATGGTCCTTTTCAAGTGCGGTTTGCGGCATTGTATTCTACTAATAAATACCTTTAATTTGATGTGCATATCAACCTATGCTTCCATTCAAGATTTACTTCCGACTTCTTGTGGGCCATCGCCCTGAAGAGTTATTTGGATCACTGAATGTGAAGTTATGGGGATCATTTTAAAGGGAATTTTAAGCAAAGAAGAATGCCGCAAACCGTACTTCAAAAGGACCATCCGTTAAAAAATGACAGTGTCACACCCAAAGGTGATATCCGACCACCATGTACACAGAAAAGTAGCTTACAATTTCCAGTAACGGTATACCAATTGTGGTTGTGATATCGTTTGTCGTTTAAAAGTTATAAAGTCGTCCTAAGACTTAACGGTCACCCTGTATATACATATAATCCAATGTTTGTCCTTTATTCGTTACCAAACGACCATCCGATCGTGATGAAACTCAAGGGAAGTAAATAAGTACTATACATAATGAACAGTTTTATTAACCACATTTAGTAATATTTTATGGATCGCGAACTCATTCAAGTTTATTCCGCCTTACACCTTTAAACCAAAGTTCACCAAAATCAGATAAAAATTACTCAAGTTATCGTGTTCAAGGACACATACATATAAAAATTTGAACGAATGGTGCTTTTGGCCTCTGGGGACATCAAAATGATAAAGTAAATCGGTCCCGGGACTAAGTCTTACCATGAGACCTACGGTAATAGCTTATTCCCTATAGGGAAATTCGATAAAAATCGCAGCTTAGTGCTTTTTTTAATGATCCAGTACACTCACATTCTGATTAGTGATACCTAATTATAGCACCCATTTACAATTAAACTAGAGGACCCATGCTGCTATAATATCCGAGAAATACCGGTAATCAAATTTATGATTTTTGATTGAGTAATACAGAATCTTGAGCTTAACTTATTCAAACGATCAATAACTCAAATTAAAGCCTATAATTTACTGATTATTTTTAGTCTAAAACATATATAAAAAACATAAACAACACTGGAGCTATTGATTTATAATCATAGTAGTACCTTATGAAAAATTATTTTTATGTTGGTTGTTAACCTTGCATTTGCTTGAAACTCGTCCGATTTGAATAACTAATAGCTTAAATGAAACCCAGTATTTCACTGAAGGTTCTTAGACCAAAACATAAATAAAGGATTATATCATTATACTAGCAGAGTACCCGTCCTTCGTACGGGGTTGGAATATAAGTATAAAATGCTTATTGCAGTTATACTCAAGCTTTGCGTTTGCAATGAGGGAGGACACAGTTTGATAAAATTTGCTTTTTTAAATTTACAGTATTCTATAGTATTACACATCTACCATAGCCATAATGTTCTACCACTTCACCTAAACAATAGAGAAAAAAAAAATTATCAACAATACGCAAAATATCACAAATTAATCATGAAATGAAAAACATAAACATAACTGTAAACAATCGTACTTTGACAGTTCTCATTGCGAATCACAGTTTTTTGTTGCTGCTTTTAGTTCAAATTAGCTGTTTTCATAAATGCAAACAAATATCGTGCTGCACCCTGTTGGTAAATCTTATAACTTTTTAATGCTTTTCCATATTATAGAACCAACTTTTTTAGTTGAAACAGCTGACTAAATTCTTTAATTCCCTTTAAATATGAATAGGCCTACTCATAAGGTTAACATGGGGAATTACAGAGCCACTGGGGCGGAGCCCGAAAGGATTTTTGAGATAAGAATATGCCTATATGTTAATCGGGAATGTAAGCTATCATCATGCAAAATTTCAGCCCAATCCGTCCAGTGGTTTATGCGTGATTGAACTTCAAACACACAAACAAACAAACAAACAAACACACAAACTTTCACATTTATAATATTAGTACGATTATTTGGTGAAATACATCTTAAATTGAAGTAAGAATTCAAAAATAAATCACATTATGTTTTTTAATGGAGTAGCCTAATACAGTAGGTAAATATATGCCAATGCTTAAGTGAAATCTTTGCGTGCCTGCCTTCAATTTGAGACCACATTATAAAAATCGGTCGGGTAGAAGAGCTAAACGAACTCGGCAAAGAAAAACCAAATTTAATTCCCATAAGAAAAACATGGAGAGCAAATTTAGTTTTTTACGTATAAACCGAGTGAGACTATAGATAATTTTATGCCGATGCTTGATGGCAAATCTGTGCATGCATACCTTCAATTTGAGACCTCAATCATGAAAATCGATCGGGTAGAAGAGCTATCGAACTTGGAAAAGAGAAACCAAACTCCCATTTACACATGGAGAGCAAATTTCGTTTAGCCTACGTATGTACGGAGTGAGACTATAGATAATTATATGCCAATGCTAGATGGCAAATCTGTGTGTGCATACCTTCAATTTGAGACCACTATCATGAAAATCGGTAGGGTAGAATGAGCTAAACGAACTCGGCAAAGAGAAACCAAATTTAACTCCCATAAGAAACACATGGAGAGCAAATTTTGTTTACGTATAGGCCTAAACCGAGTGAGACTATAGATAGTTACAGTAGAACCCCTGTTAACCGAATTAGGGTTAACCGAAATTGTTCTATAAAATAATATAGATCTGTAAAATGCTCTAATAACTTCAGTTGTCTGGCTCAAAAAATATTTCTATCCCATTGTAACATTTTTGTAGCTGAAATAAAACACTAAATTAGGCCTTTATAGGTATTCTCTTAAATTCATTTTCCTACACACTGTGGTGATACATTGGCTATTTTTAGCATATGATGGGTTAACCGAAAAATTGTATATCCGAAACAGCTCTCCCCCCTTTATTTAGGTTAACCGGGGTTCTACTGTATATGCCGATGCTTGATGGCAAATCTGTGCGTGCATACCTTCAATTTGAGACCTCAATCATTAAAATCTGTCGGGTAGAAGAGCTAAATGAACTCGGCAAAGAGAACCCAAATTTAACTTCCACAAGAAACGAATGGAGAGCAAATTTCGTTTACGTATAAATCAAGTGAGACTATAGATAATTATATGCAGATGCTTGGCAAATCTGTGCGTACATACCTTCAATTTGAGACCTCTATCATGAAAATCGGTAGGGTAGAATGAGCTAAACGAACTCAGCAAAGAGAAACCAAATTTAACTCCCATAAGAAACACATGGAGAGTAAATTTTGTTTACGTATAGGCCTAAACCGAGTGAGACTATAGATAGTTACAGTAGAACCCCTGTTAACCGAATTAGGGTTAACCGAAACCCGGGTTAACCGAAATTGTTCTATAAAATAATATAGATCTGTAATATGCTCTAATAACTTCAGTTGTCTGGCTTAAAATATTTCTATCCCATTGTAACATTTTTGTAGCTGAAATAAAACACTGAATTAGGCCTATATAGGTATTCTCTTAAATTCATTTTCCTACACACTGTGGTGATACATTGGCTATTTTTAGCATATGATGGGTTAACCGAAAAATTGTTTATCCGAAACAGCTCTCCCCCCTTTATTTAGGTTAACCGGGGTTCTACTGTATATGCCGATGCTTGATGGCAAATCTGTGCGTGCATACCTTCAATTTGAGAGCTCAATCATTAAAATCTGTCGGGTAGAAGAGCTAAATGAACTCGGCAAAGGGAACTCAAATTTAACTCCCATAAGAAACAAATGGAGAGCAAATTTTGTTTACGTATTTAAATCAAGTGAGACTATAGATAATTATATGCCGATGCTTGGCAAATCTGTGCGTGCATACCTTCAATTTGAGACCTCAATCATGAAAATCAGTCGGTTAGAAGAGCTACTCGGCAAAGAGAAATCAAATTAAACTCCCATAAGAAACACATGGAGAGCAAATTTCGTTTACGTATAAACCGAGTGAGAGTACAGATATATGCCGATGCTTGATGGCAAATCTGTGCTTGCATACCTTTAATTTGAGACCTCAATGATGAAAATAGGTCGGGTAGAAGAGCCAAACAAACTCGGAAAAGAAAAACAAAATTTTTTTAACAACATAACTATAGGTAACTATAGGCTATATAGTTAACTGCTATTATTATTTTTCCCCATGAAGTTTTAAGTCAGAAAAATTAACTCTGAATTTCTAACAACAACAACAAAATAATATAATAATAAATAGGTACCCGAGGACCTAAAAGAAAAATGTATTTTAATAAAAATTACGCTGTTTATGATGTTTAGAAATCCCCAGGCTGTGGGAGAATGCACTTTTTTAACCACTAATAAAAATTATTACTAAGAATTTGTTTACAAAGCTTTCCTGGTGTGGGAGGTATAGGTACCTAGAAATAACAAATATTGCTTAACTGATCTTTAGAGCATGGATTTAAAAATAATAGCCTATAGGCCATTGC